ATTGCGATAATAGTGTAAAAGTAGTCCAAACCAATGACCCAAGGTTCCATAGAGAAATAAGGTACACTGAGAGGAAAGTATCATGTCCTACATGATATTGTCCAGCAAGAAAATGTACTCGTGGCTATATAACATTGCGTTGGAACACAACTTTGTTGATCCATTAACAAAGGTGTTATGATCAATAGTTTTGATCGTCACATGGATAACATTGGAGTTAGATGCAATCCGAATTGGCTATGAGGGCAAGTGGGAGCTGTTGGGATTTATATGCCCTGACATAGCAAATTCCCGTTTGGATTAAAGTGACATATGTTCCTGACGTATCTGAAATATTTATACTTTATACAATTGGTGAATTCAATGTATTATGTTTCGATTCACTATGGAATTGATAGTATCCATTTGATTACAAGAGATATTTATATATATCTATGTGATGGCGATCAATATATGAATATATAAATAGTAATCATAAATGGTTCATAGTCAGTAATTATGGATGGACTCATAATTAATTAAGACTTGAACTGGATCCGCGTTAGGTTGAGATATATTGCGAAAGCCGTCGTATGCAATTGCTCCCTATCACTGTCATGGCATTTGACTCTTAAGCATGAGAAAAGTATAAACTTTTTTATTAGTTAATAATTACTTTGATTTGTTCGGCGAATACTTCGGGATCCTTAGACCGACACTTTGGGTAATTATGTAATTAATAGTTAGAGGGTTATATTCCCAATATTTGCATCAATGCTACTTATATTTATTTTGTATTGATTATGGTTGATCACAAATTAAATTCGAAGACCTTCATATGTTTTTAAACAAAATGATTTAGTATATATTTATTTATTTAAATTGTTATTTTTGTCAAACAAATGTTTATTGTGATCGAGTCAGAAATAATCAAAGGTACCAAAATAAATATATTAATTAAGTAGTCAGATTAATGACTTTATTTATCCGATAACTAATTATGGATAGAGAGGTCAAAGTGCAACATTGACTTAGAGGTTCTTTATTATTTAATTGGAGTTCAATTAATTTCTTTTAGTGGAATAAAAATTAATTAATGAATTAATTTAATTGGGTCCATGAACCGGGCCGATTATTAATTCATTGTAGCCAAGAAAATAATAAGCCCAATAGGATTCTCACTCATAAACCAACTTGATATTTGAATCCTATTAGATTTGAGATATGTGAATTAGAGATGGAGAATGATTTATTGTTTCCTTTTCTTATTTTTATGTTGCCTATATATACATGGATTCATGTATATTTTAAGGCAGACTTTTGGAAGAAAAGAAAAAGGAATATATTTTTTTTCTTTCTCTAGATTTTAGGGTTTGTTTTCTCATCTAATGGATGCTCCCACAAGCCTATTTTTTCAAGATCATTCATGGAGGCTTATGAGTGATTCCTAAAGGTAAGACCATTATCAAGAAGATAGAGATCCAAGGAGAAAGCATCTAGCAAAGAGATCTACAATAAGTGAGAACATTCATTTTAGATGAGAGATCTAAGGTTTACTCAAACCTTGATGTGAGTATTCAATCCCTAAATTGAATGATACATCATGTTTTATTTTTTTTTTGCATAAAACTTGTCTCTATGTGATGAATCAAGATCTATGTATGAAAATCCCTCAGAAAGTTGCACGTTTCCCAACACCACTAACTCCCACCCGTAATTATACCTGCCATTTTTTCTACGCAAATTGTTGTCTTTGATAAAAATATATATATAACATTTAATCGAATATATTACAATGATTCAATTTCTAAAAGTCTCCATCAAAATAACTATATATTTACCTACTCTCTACTATTACGTACTCTATACTATTCTAAAACTTTTTCAGTTTTTTTTTGACAAATAAACACGATATCATTCAACAGGAGGAATAATACAGTCAAAGCGAAGAGCGACTAACAACCACGAAGGCCAGACGCTCCACTCAAAGTCGGAACATTCAGCTACTAAAGTTTTTTTGCTCAACAAATGAGCTACAACATTACTTTGGCGAGGCACCCAAGCCAAGGAAGAACCATTACAGACACAAAGAAGAGAACGGACATCATTAAAAAGAACACTCAGAGCCTCCTCATTGGCGCGAAAACGCATAACAGGCTGACAGTCCCCCTCCACAATAACATTATGATAACCCCAAAGGCGGAGAAGAGATAAGCTTTCCCGAAGAGTTAATCCTTCTGCTATAGATGGGCTCCCAACATTGGAAAAGAAGAGAGATGAAACTTTCAGAGGTTACCCAAAATGGTTGCGCAAAATCAACCCACCACCACAAGATTGTCTGGTTGAGTCAAAAGCGGCATCGAAGTTCAATTTAAGGAAACCCTCAACAGAAGCACACCATCGAGTAGAGGGAGGAATAACAGGAGGACAAGGAAAAGAGAGCAGCCGAGATTGTCTAGAAACCTCTTGAAATTCTTGGAAATCCAATAAAGCCTTGTTAGCTACCTCCAAAGGAGACCATTTCTTTTGATTGAACACTAGGTCATTGCGACTCTTCCAGATAGCCCAACACGTAAACGCAGCAAGATTAAGACAATCTTTTGGATACTCGGACTTAGACCAAGATTCAGTCATCTCAAACCACCGTTTAGGCCAAAAAGAAGGAGCTGTACCATGAAAATCCATCCGTAAGGGACTATGAATCCACACCATACTAGCAAAAGAGCATGAACAAAGGAGATGGTCGACTGATTCCACACAAGATTCACAAAAAGGACAGGAGGACAACACAGAGATCCCTCGAACTGACAGGAGAAAATTCACAGGTAACCGATCATGAAGACTCTGCTAAAGAAACAAAATAAGTTTTCGAGGGACCTGTAACGACCAGACCTTACTCCACATACAGCATCACGCGCCGTCAAAACTACTTCCTTCAACTGTATCCTCACATGGCAGCCGAGAAAGAATGAAGAGAGCCACCTTGTGCGCGCTTTTGACAGAAAATAAACCATCAGAAGACGCCCCCCAAATCTTGTGATCAACAGCGCCCATTGAACTAATAGGAATCTTCAAAATTAAATCACAATCTCTCTTATTAAACCATTGATGAACCAACCTTGTATCCCATGAATGAGTGGGATGGATAATGAGCTGTTCAACCAAGCAAAATGGAGCACCCATAGGAGGAGAAGAAACAGAAAAATGTAAGGGGTCAGGCAACCATTTATCGAACCAACAATTGATCTTCACCCCATCCCCAACCCGTCACTTCAAGCCCTTTTTAATAACGTCCCGATCCGAGAAAATGCCGCGCCATGCCCGTGAAGCTTTGGACTTGCGCATCCACAAAAGCACAATTTTTGAAATATTCCTGTTTGAAAGAACGGTAAAGGATGGAATCGTCCCCAATTTTCATACGCCAAGCCACTTTAGCAAATAAAGCTAAATTAAAAGCTTCGAGATTTTTGAAACCTAAGCCACCTACGGCTTTCGGGAGACAGAGACGCTCCCAGCTGATCCATTTAATTTTATTGGATTTCTCCTCCCCTCTCCACCAAAAATTGAGAAGTTGGCTTGTCAAAGCTATGCAATTCTTTTTAGGAAGCTTCAAGCATTGCATTGCATAACTTGGAAACGCGGACAAAACAACTTTCAGCATCACCTCTCTACCTGCTTTGGAAAGTAACTTGCCTTTGAGCAACTTGACTTTAGAAGAAACCTTTTTCGAAATAAAATTGAGGGAAGCAATCTTGGATTGCCAACTTTCCAATTAACTAGAATCCTCAATATTTATACAAAAGTGCATACCTCTTATTTTTTCTAGTGTTTTATAAGGCTAAAATCATAAAATAATAATAATAATAGATAAATAAATAAATAAATAACCTGTTGCTTAAAAAATTATCAATTAACCCCTCAATTAAAGAAACTATCATTTCACCTTTTAATATTTTAAAAAGTCTATCATATCACCCTTTTTTTTTAATTTTTCGTCTAAAGTCTAAAGCTAACGAGAACAATAATATTTCACTTGATCTGACCAAACTGCCCTTTTAATCACCTAATGACTAAAATGCCCTGCCTCAGTCTAAAAAATCTATCTTCTTCAACAACGGGATCGTTCAAACTCCTTCAGCATGACCAATATGAGCTCCAAACTGGCGATGATATAAAACCCACTTCGACGAAGCCCAAATAAGCTCCACGAACGTGCGCGAACTTTCATCAGTGACCGAACCGAGAAACTCACACCCAGCGACGACACTTCAAATGAGCTCAACCCAGTAGCTTCCACTGATAGCGGCGAGTTCCTTTTTGTCCGGTGCATTCCTTTTCGGCGAGCTTCACAAACCCAACTAGCAAAGACTCTTAGCAGCTAAACTGGCGAGAAAGTTAGAAAAAACAAAGACCCAACAGATTGGTTCGGTCCGGCGACACCTCAAGCCCTCCTTGGCGAAACCCAATTCAGCCCGGCGACATCTCAAGCGACCTTGAACCAACTACAACAACTAATATCCGGTGAGCTTCTAAACAACGACCAAAACGAACGGATTCCCAAATGCATGCACTATCTATAGTGAACAGACATAAAGTTGCAGACGTCCATCGGTCCATGCAAACTCCATGAACGCGGACGATATGTACTGAGCATCCAGCTACAACTAAACTTAACGCGAGCTCCAAGCTGCTACAAAACCCACCTTGACGTTCTCCATCAGCGACCAAAACTGAAAGCTCCGTTAGCAAGAAGACCGGCGAGACCCAGCTTGGAGAGGCTAACCCATTTCGGTCATCATCCAGTGACCTACACTTTCATGCATGCGCATCCGGTGAGCCTTGATACACCTGATATAAAGCTTCTTCAAGAGACCCAACTCTGACGAGCTTCAATCGAGTCCGGCCAAACAGTTCCGTCGGGCCTTTTATATATATTTCCTGTGACAACTCAAAGCATTAGCAACAATTTATTCAACCACTCCATCCTTTCATACATGAGCCGGCTTTTCACTAGTGGTCTATTGTTTTTTTTTTTTTTTTTTTTTTAGTTAAAGGGTAAGCTTAGTGGTCTATTGTTTCACTCACTTTCTCTATCTAAAACTATTTCTTTTTCTCTCTCTATAACACTCAATATATGTGTATGTACAGTCAGTTTGGAATGGAATTGAGAAGGAGTAGAGAGAGAAAGTCTAGTTGAAAAAAGAAAAAAAAGGTTAAAGTCAACCAATAGGCTACTGACACGTGTGTGAGTGTAGAGACATAGAGGGCATAATTGTCATTTAAAATCAACAATTTTAGTTTAATAAAATATTAATATACTATCAATTGCATTATTCTCATTTCACAATAATTTTATGATTCTGTCACAAAAATGGGACAATGTGATAGTTTTTGTTTAGTGCAGGGGGTTTTTAATAGTTGGAACTGGGGCAACGTAATAGTTTTTGTTTAGTTCAGGGAGGTTTTTAATAAATGAGGGGGTTATATATCGTTTTTGTAAACAACACAGGGATTTATGATTTTAACCTTACTTTATATTATTGAAATAACAATATATTAGGCATAAGAAAAACAAAAATAATATGTGTCAAAGTTTAATGGTGAAATTTAAAAAATAAATAAATAAAATTAAAAAAACATGTGTGTGTGTCTTTGCATTTTTCCATTTCATTTTTCATGCCGAAGTATTTTACTAACTATACTTCAAGCACAAACCAACCTGTGATTAAGCATTGATGATTATAAAAACTTAATAATTCAATCAAATCAATAACTTGAAATTAAAATTGCAAATTTTCTCAAATTCCATTTTCAAATCAAACAGTTGGTGCTCCCAAACATATTACTCACTTAGATTCAAAAATTACATTCAAAATTACTTGATCTAACCTATCTTGAGGCTAATTTAAATTTTAAAATATTAAAGTTACTCCATCTTGAGGTTAACTTAAATTTTAAAATATTAAAGTCACTCGTCTTTTTAGTTAAAATAATATAATAATCACCGAGAGCACAAAAAGGACAGTGACCAGATGTTGGTGAGTTGGTGTAGTTTTTTAGTTTTCACTTCATTTCTATCGCAAGAAACAAACAACTAACTCTACTTTTCTTTTCTTTTGTAAATGAATTTTAACATTCCTACGTGTTCAAAAGGGTGAAAATCATCGGATATTCTAAAAATTGACAAATGGCAACTACAACAAATATTTTATATCATGTTTGGCCAAACCAAATCGGTACCTTATATTTGAAATTGAAAAAAATTTAGTATAAATTTTGAATTAAATTTCTTTCAATTCTAAATCTAAAATTTGGTTAAAGAATATAACCCCAACAGCCCATCAAAAATTAAGACTCCGCAAACAAAAATTAACCATAGGTTATCCAATCGATGGTGGCGGTGTAGTGATATATTGAAATTTCTTACTATTAAAATCCATTGCATGAGAAGAAGATGCATCAGGAAAAATACCATTGTTCTTCTTATTAGCAACCACCCATATCAGTGGACATGAATTTTACACGAGGCGTCCCCCTACTACCACCATTACTAGCTGGGACCGTGGCCGTCTCATCACCAGTAGATTTCTTCAGACATGACTTCAGCCGGACCGCTGGCTGTTGTCGAGGCTGATGTGCAGGTGCTGCCTGATCGACTGCATTCTCCTTTGACTGCAGGTCCTCCACAGAAAAGTCTTCTGTTCAGACTTTGCCAGACTCCGACTCAGGTGCTGGATCTTCCCTAAGGTGACATGTTCACATTGCCAAATAAGGAATTATTTCCGCTAAGATGTTTGTATGCTGCCTGCGTATCAAGTTTGCGCAGGAACACAACACGGCACGTTGAGGACTAGTAGAAAATACGAGTTCCTGAATGATCTAACGGCCCAAAACAAGCAAACCTGGCCTTCAGCTCAGAACCAGATGGAAGGTTGGCATGGGGAGGGAACTTCATCACCAGCGTTGTGGGGTTTGCTGCATTGCTGGAGGCACCATTTTCTTAGCAGAATCTGCTTTGACTGGTTTTGTTGGTGTTGGAGCAACTCTCTCTTTTCCAGTACCCTGTGGGGCTTCCTCAGTCTTTTGAGCTCCCTCCTCTGCACCTAATGTTTTTAAACGAACTCTTTGCAGCCATTCCTTCAAGACGATCGGATGGGCTTCGTTTAAACCCACCTTTTGTCAGATCATCAGGCTTGTCAAGAGGTTTTGATGGTTTCAGAGATGGAAGATTGCTAATATTCTTACCATGAGAATCATCAGAAACCCCATTACTAGCTGGGAACTTAACAGCATTAGCTTCATTTGACTGAGTCACAGGAGCTGACAAAGGGGACTGAGCTTTTCTCATAAAAGAGGGTCCGAAATCTCAGAGAATTCACTGTATAAACGCATAATTGTTCTTCTCCACAGCATGGAAGGGGTTGAGAGCAAGAGATTGCAAACCACACAGTAATTGCAGAAGCTCGAGTTCAGAATTGACTGCCCTTGCCATTGGCACCATCCTAGCAGAATCAGGCGACATCGAACTACTGGCCTGATCTCTTGTGAAAGTCCACCTGAGAGTTCTCTATATGAGCCCAACCAACTTGGAGTGATTTTCCTGCTACTTTCCCAACCAGGGTGCCACTTTTTTCAATAGCTACACGTTTCTGCATATTATCAGCGCTCATTTCGGTGTACAACTCTTACTTTCTCTTCTCCCTCCTCTCAACTTCGCCTGATTTTCCTGCTATTTTCCCCACCACTGCCCCACTTTTTTCAGTAGCTGCATGCTTCTGCATAAGATCAGAAGCTCATTTGGGTGTCCAACTCTTTCTTTCTCTTCTTCTTCTTCTTCTTCTTCTTCTTCTTCTTCACCCCTGGGGCAGATTTCTCAGAACTCAATTCCCTAGTAGTATATTTAAGAGCTTTGCCCTTCTTCACCCCCTTGTGACCATCATGAACTTGTTTCTGTCCATACAATTCTTTGGCTGTGGTTGGTAGACTTGGAGATTGCTGATAGCCTTCGTCCAATTTAATATTCTCCGAGTTCTCAGGATCATCTTTAAAGTTGATCGTCCTCTCAACTTCAGGCTCAAAAGTGCGAGACAAATTATCTACCATGCCAGGGAATACAACTTTCCCAGTAATATTAGAAGCACCCACACTTGCAGGACCAGTTGTCAATCCCTTGCGTTCTACCATTTTTACCCTAGTGCCTTTCCCCTTATCAAGAGAAGACTTTGGGTCGAAGAGATAACTGCTGTAGGCTGGAGTATCATTCTCACCAATGGGAAAACTAACAGCATTACTAGCGGAGGACTCCACCTTACTTGCATTTACCTGAGAACCAGTCATGCTAAATTTAACAGCAGAAGATCTTTCCTCTAAAGTTTTAGCGCCTTTGCCAGTTACATCCGTATGCAAAGCTGAAGCACCATCCCTACTGATTGTCCGAGTCTGTTTATGTTTACCTGGAATCTTGGACTTTCTAGAGACCAATGGAACACTCTTTTTGCAACACACAATTTCCAGCTGCTGGAGACCCCTCTGCAATAATGGGCTGGACATAATTCTCAGTAGCAAGTGCTGAAGACCCCTCTCCATTAGTGGGGTGGAAAGAGGAACTTGCTAGCCCAAGGTTGATTTGGTGTGTTTCCAACTCATCTCGTTCATCCCTTCGTTTAAAAAGATAATTGTCTTTCTTTCCTTGGTCCTTGGATTTATTTGGTTTTGCGGATATCCCCACCTTACCTAAAAGCTTCTGCAATCACTTGTAGGCCACTAAGAGGAGCTGGCACATGACCCACTCCACCACATGATATGATATTGTCCGCTTTGACCCTGAGCCCACACTGTTTCGCTATTGGGTTTTACCCCAAAAGGCTTCATACCAATTGAAGATAACACCACCCACATATAAGCACTTCACATTTCCCTTACCTAGGCGATGTGGGATTGTGCACATGTAGCTCATCCAGTGTGATAACCTGCCAGTGCCTCGCACCCTCCCACAAGGTCGCCACAATCACCCCCCTTGGGGCCCAATGTCCCCGTTGGCCATAATTCCGGCTAGGTCAGGCTCTGATACCATTTATAACGACCTACCCCACCACATGGTATAATATTATCCATTTTCCACACGGTTTTGCTCTTGGGCTTTATCTCAAAAAGTCTCGTCCCAATTGGAGATAACACAGCCACATATTACTTCACCTTTCCCTTACCCAGGCGATGTGGGATTGTGCACCTGTAGCTCGCCCAGTGTGGTAGTCTGCCAGTACCTCGCACCAGTCCACTCACACACAAGGTCAGGCTACCACACTGGGCAACCTTGTGGGCTGGTGCGAGGCACTGGCAGGCTACCACACTGGGCGAGTTACAGGTACACAATCCCACATCGCCTGGGTAAGGGAAAGGTGAAGTGCTTATATGTGGTGGTGTTATCTCTAATTGGTACGAGGCCTTTTAGGGTAAAGCTCAAGAGCAAATCCGTGTGGGCTTGGGCCCAAAACGGACAATATCATACCATGTGGTGGAATGGGTAGTTACAAATTGTATCAGAGCTTAACCCAGCCGAAAGTGTGGCCAACGAGGACGTTGACCCCCAAATGGGTGGCGACCTTGTGGGCAAGTGCGAGACACTGGCAGTTACACTAAATAAATCAAGCATAAAATTGGTAATAAAGTAAATAACCAGTTACATCCGAATGCAAAGCAAATAACCATAAAGTAAATAACCATTCCACTAAATAAATATATTCTCACTGCTTTGCCTTCAAAAAGTTTCTTCAGACTTCAGAAAATTGTAATATTCCAGCTGAGTCATCTCTCCACCAACTTCTGGATCAAACTCGCATCTGTAGAAGCTGCATTTACAATTAAATTGATGGTAATCATTCAGTTAAATATTTTTTCATAGAACTCAAATAGCAATGGATTTGGACAGTTAGGAAGCATGTACTTATAATCCCAGTAATCACCATATGGGACATCCCATTTCATGCTAAATGGGAACACATAAAAAAAATCTTGAAAAAAAAAAAAAAAAAAATCCCCCCCTTCTCTCCCTAAAAAGGAGGATTGGCAGGAGAAGGTACAAAGCTTTTACAAACTATTATGCGAAGTATGAAAACATACAAAAAGTTTCCAAACACTAACAATTAACTAAATCAGAAAACGGGTCCATAATTAACAATATATTGACTCAAATCTAATAGATTCAGAACCTCTGTGTATTTAACTATGCAAATTACAACTTTTGATACACCATTAAATATAAGATTTTGACCACACAGACTTGATCTATAACATGTTCGAATTATTTAACATAGATGCCATTATATGGAAAGCAAAGAATAAATTCAGCGATAAAACACTACATGACTTTTTAAAAAAACACACTCAAATGTATTATATATGATGTCACTTACATATTTAATACGTATCTGAATTCATCAATAATACAATATATTATGTCACTTGCATATTTATTTATTTTCTCAAATTAAATCCAATTATCCTATCAGACCCAATTGTCGCACTGGACCAAGGTTATGTTGATAATTAGGACATCACTTAATTTTCTCAAATCATATTGGATTGTCATAATAGATCCAATTGTTACATTGTATCAATGTTATGTCAAACAGTCATATTAGGATAGTGATTTAATGTTTTTGCATCAAAGCAGATCCAGATAGGAGTGGCAATATTTGACACGACGCACTAACACGACACGAGATAAGAAGGTTTGGGTTTGGGCTAATCGTGTTCGTGTCGTAATCATATTGACACGGATTAACCCATTAACTAAACATATTGTGTTCGTGTTGACCCTGCTAACACAATTATGACACGATTAACCCGATTAACTAAACATGTAAGATAAACGTGTCGTATTCGTGTAAAAAATGACTTATTTAGCTAAACGTGTAGAAAGACTTAAACGTGTCTTTTCGTGTCATTTTGTGTCGTGTCAAGTCTTGACCCATTTATTAAACGAGTTACGCGTGTCGTGTCATGTTACACGTATTATATTCGTGTCATGTTCGTGTCAAGGGGTCTTGACACGATTAATAATCGTGTCATGTTCGTGTCGACTCTAATTGTGTTCGTGTCATAATCGTGTTAACATGAACACGACCCGTTAACACGAATTGTCACCCCTAGATCCAGACCATCCCTAATATGATCTATATCCAATTTGTTTACACCACTAAGCATGTGCGAGATTTCCCATCAAAGCTAGACAAGAACCTCATCAGTCAAGAAATTCCAATTAACTCATTTTGAATACTTGCATGTTTAAATATTGATGCAATTACAACAGCAACAATAGCAGAATGTACAGCTTTAAGACAACTGACAGTATCATGACAGAATGAGGTATAAACGCTCCATATTGAAAAATAAGTAATGACTACGCATCAAGATGCAATAATCGGAATGGCTATGAGAATAGGGAAGCAGAAAACTTTACGTGCAAGATATAAAATCAGAAATCAAATTGTTTCCACAGAATGAGATGATAAATAATCAACATGAAGGTGATGCCAACTTGTACTAAAGACCTAAGAAGTATGGACACAAATACTTAATACATGACAAGATATACAGATATATAAAGACACGACAAGATAAACTCTTTAAAAACAGGACATAAATATGGCAAGGAGCCAACAATATTTATGTCTCTATCTATTTTGTGTATATATGTAAGAAAATAAAAAAATATATATATGTATCTATGTAAGAATTCAAAGTAAAAATTACATCATGCTATATGCTTTTTCCTAATGACTATACCACATATTATACTAGAAAAGCTACATTTTGATACACATGTTCGAAATAAAAAATTATACAAGTATATAGTATCTGCGAGTATCATACATGCATTCAAATTAAAAAACAAAACAAATTATTATTATTTCAATTTATGGAATTTTTCAAAAGCGTCAAAATAGTATCTGCAAGAATCATTTTTCAGTATATGATACCAATACAAAAGCCAATGCCTCTCAGTAAACAAGTTGCCTAACCCACATGGAGGTATAGTGTGTAGACCTTGTTGAGGGAGGCTTTGCTGGAGAAATATAACTTAGCATAACACTACATGTATACTGGCTTGAAGAGCCTGTGATACCTCAACACATATAGGCTGGTTCCCAAAAAGTTGTTAGTTAGTTTACAATTAAAGAAAGCTTTCTTTTAATACTTTTTTGTTTTTCCTTCCCTTTTTCAGGTAAGCAACTTTCTTCTAATACAAGCCAGGGAACATTTTTTTTTTTTTTTTACAAGTACAAGCCAGGGAATACATGAAGTTGATATGGTATGTATTACCTCCCATCCATGCCAAGAATAACGACTGTGTTCTTTTGGTGACCAAAGGCAACAATGTACTGAGAACCTTCATGCAAGCGAAACTGAGCCACTGACCACTCTGAGCTGAAATATTTTGGCAGCACACCTGCAAGAAAAGAACCCCATTGACCTGAGTTTACCATAGATATCTTTATGCAGAATCCTTCTTGCCATCCTAACTGATCTTGTAATAGCTATACTACTACACCATTACATCGGGTTTCAGATGGCACCCTCATTAACACACACTTAGGGAGTCTCCTACATGATTAAGGGGCAGCTTGTCAACATTAAACCTTGGTAGTGCTTAAGGCGTTGAAAACTGAGAAGTTGTTTATCAACTGTTCATGGTATTTATACAAGTGAATTGAGTAGGATGCAGAACCCATCCTAGTTAAGATGGATGAGATGAGTGACTGAAAAGATAGGGTCACTAAAGAAAGTGTGAGAGAAAAATTAGGTGTGACACCCATTGGTGAGAAAATTAGAGAGAGTAGACTTAAATGGTTTGGACACTTGCATCAGAGTCCTAGAGATGCGGGACAAAGAGGGCGACCTAAAATAACATGGAATGAGGTTATTAAAAATGACTTTAAAAAGAGTCCCAAAAAGAATGAGGGGACATGTGGGCCGTGTATTGTCCCTTGAAAAGTTACTAACTTGTCCTTATAAGTTTTGAATATCCAAATTTAAAATTTTAAACTCCAAGGACATATATGGAAAGATGTAAAATATATTATTTGAAAAAGGGAAGTGGACCATTATTTTGGGACAACCCAAAAAGGAAAGATGGACATTCTTTTTGGGACAAGGGCCTATATAATAGGTGAAATGACATGTAATAAAAAAAGATTGCAGATAAAGAATTCATGTGGCCAACCCCATTCATATGAGATTAAGGCAAGGATGATGATGATGATGAATTGCCTAGGAAGTGGAGCCCACTCTATGATGAGCAGGAAAAAAATTGACATCTTGGTCAGAGCCATCTTTGACCAGCCTAATTTATGTTTCTTGAGAAGCTAATAATACTAAGTTGGAAACAAGTCTATCCTAAGATTTACCGAAATTGTAAAGGCATGTTACCTTTAATGAAGGAGAGAGAAGACACAGCTTGTGGAGTAGAGACATTTGGTTCAGGTGTACCGCGCTGTCGTTCAATTCCTAGAGATCCAGAATCAACCTTTAAGCTGAAGACATGAACAGTTCCCTTATCACTTGAAACAGCTAGCCACCGGGCAGTTGGAGAGAATGCAAGGCTGTAAATCTCTGCTCTATCTGCACCTCTCCTTACCTTCATTTGTTATGCAAAAAGATTAACAAAAGGTGGCATGGAATTGTTAATAATTAAATGTCGATAAAAATGATAGGACCAAATTCATACAACACATAGAACTCCTCAGCATTCAATGCATATGAGTAATTAACCATTAGTATAAAAAAATAAGTACTTGTTCTTCTGAAATAGATCCAGAAATAGATCCAGAAGCACATTCAGAAAACAGAGACACAAAATCAGTCACAAATTCAAAACAAAGGCAGAAACTAGGCAGGAGGTGGTTTTAACCCCCCTTTGGCCCCTCTTATTGCTGTCCTCCTTCCTAATCATATAGCCTAAAAAAGCACAAATACGTATTCAACATGATATGGATACGGCAAGGATTCGTCAAAAAATAATAATATAGTGTATTATTATTGTTATAATTATACATAATAACTTTTGCTCATTTTATTCACATTATCATGAATGAAATACCTAATTTGGAGCTTAGAACTAGATGAGTGTTGTGTTTGTCTTCTAAAACTTTGTATTATTTTATTAATTAACCCATAATCAGTGTTTTTAAAGGTGAGCCTAGGCTCCAGGCTCATACAGGTGCAAGTGTTGCGCCTGTTGTGTGAAGGAGCCCCTTTGACAACATTTGTGCCATATTACCTTGGACCTTTGATTGGGCGCACTAAGGACGCCCGAGTGAGGCGAGAGTGAAGGCAAGTGAGGACCTTTGGAGCCTATGCAATCAATGCATATTCATATTCCATATAAAAAGGGTAAATGTTGTCAAAGGTGCGCGACATATTCCATATAAAAAGGGCAAATGGCAAGGCCCACCTTTAACAACACTGCCCAAACCTCGGTCTTTTTGGAAAAAAAAGTATATTTAACTTTAATTCTCATCCCTGATCATTAAAATATACACTATAACTTCAAAACACTTTGGCCAAACTGCTTGGCAGTTGCACAACTTTAACATTAAATGATGCTCAACCAAGGTTTAAACGTTAAGCATTTCAGTTCTTATAATTTAATATCACCCAATGCAAAAATTCTGAGTTCATAAAGCTAAAGGTACCTGAAAGAATCTATACACATCACAATTCACAACATATAAAATATGTATATGCAAATGCTTGCCTACGTTTTTCAACATCATACCTCCTGAAGCAGTGAACCATCCAATGTATTGAAAATCCGAACCAGGGTCCCCTTACTACTCGCTGTAGCCAGCAACCGCCCGTCCAGCGTAAGCGCAAAGCATGCAATTCTCGAATCATGAGCCATTATAAACTTGGTCTGCTTCAATGCATGATACTCAACCCTAACCTGCCCCTTCCGCAACCCTGGGCACACCAATACCATAGATCCCGAAACGTGCGACACCTCACAAAGACCCTTATGGTTTGATATTGTCTCTATTCGATGCAACAATTTCATGTCGTCAAAATTATACACAAAGATCTTCTGCACCAAAATCACCACAATTCGGTCCCGTCTGAGCCTCACCGCTTTGACCTCAGACCGGAACGACAGCTCGCCGATGCACCGGCTCTGATGGTCGTGCCAAATCATGACCTTGTTCAACGGGTACTGCGGTTCCGGCCCTCCACCGACCAGCGAGAAAATGGTGTGCCGGAACAGCATCTGCACAAACCCAATACCGCCTCCATTGTCGAATTCTCGCCGGAAAATCTCACGAAACGGGTCGCAATTGTATATGCGGAAGCCGCGATCGGTGCCGGCGGCGAACCAGCCGGAGTCCTGGTTGAAGGAGAGGTAGAGGAGAGAGGGAGCTGGAGTGGAAGATAGGGATAAATTGGGGTTAGGGTTTTCGGTAACGGGTGGGACTTCGGAGGAGTTATCGGGGAGAGATTGTCGTTGCGCGTCGCCGAGATCGGAAAAAGATTGATTCTCTTCTAGGGTTTGGTAGTATTGATTGGAGCAGTCGGAGGAAGAGGAGGGAGGAGCAGGAGAGTTCTGCGCCATGTGGAGTGAATCTGAAGGATTATTGGCGAGTAAGCAATTAGGGCTAGGGATGGAGAATGAATTTTATCGGAAGTGACTGACGGAGAACCTATTATTCATTGAGAGAGAGACGATGAAGATAAGTTTAAGTAGGGAATTTTGTGTACTCGCAATGGGAAAGAATGAAATATTCTCGCCCTAGGATTATTGGTTAGAAGTAGACTTAACATACAAGTCTGAAAGAAACTTAATACGGAGTGTAATTATAGTACGGTAATAAATAAAGAATAGACCATCATTGATTAGAATTTCCATAATTAGAATTTCCATAATTAAGGAAATATATAAATAAATTATATATATATATATTTACAAGGTAAGAAGTATTTACCTATGAAGGCTATGAGGTTCCAAATTTTCAAAAATTCAGATATATCAATGAGACCTGAAAGTTGACCCGGCTCCAAGATATGGAAGCGAAAACAAAGGTCTATGGGGATGTTTGGTATCCCTGAGAATTGTGACTTTTCATGAAATGACGGAACCAAAAGAAAACAAATGCGGAAGTGAAAAGGTGAAAATAGACCGAGGATGCCCCCAAGGGCAAAATGATCATTTTACATTAAAACAGAGTCTCAAAAGATGTACGTCACACAAACATGACTTCCCATGAAGCGAACTTAAAAGAAAATCAAATATGTAAGCGACGTTTTAAAAACGGACAAGTTTAGCCCTAAGAGTAAAATAGTAATTTCGAGAAAGTTATGGTACATCATTGGATAGATAGCAAAAAAAATTAACGAAGGTAGACTCAAGAATCATTTGATTCGGAATCCAAACGGAAGACACAGCCAAAAATAAAAATGGGTGTCGCCCCGGCCAAGAGCACAAGGGCCAAACCCTATGCACGCTTAATATCATTATTAGTCAAATCTCAACATAATTCATAAATTCAAATAATTTTTGTTCCGTTTGAAATCAATTTTCTCATAAATATTCATCCTTATAGAATTCAAATATTTGAATTTAATAACATGAATTCAATTTCTGCTAAATTTCGCTAATACCTCTTAAAGCTCTTTATTTTTTTTTCTTTCATGATTTCTTTGACCCAGCTTTCGGTAACCTCTTATAATCCTAAATTTTGTATTAATAATTTAATTATATTAAAATTATTGTATTAGTAAACTCCTAATAAATTTTGCTCTGTTTGGAATGATAAGATTCTATGAAAATTGGATTTGGAAAGACATTTTAGATGTTTGGAATGGGTAGAATTTTAAAAGGGATGGGATTTCATTAGATTTGATGGGAAATTTTATAGCTTTTATAAATCCGGAAAAAATGTAAGGATTTGAGGAGATTTGGTAACTACCTGCAACTTTGATTTGATTAAATTTTAGGTTAATTTTACTGACAGTCCTTCAGATTTAACCAAATATCAACCTGAATTAACTTTCGAAAATTACTATCACTTATGTTACAAAAATTTGCTCCATATTTCACTCACACCCCGTTAACTCTAGACCTACCAATAAATCTTTAACCTAAATACATAAACTAAAAGACTAAATTGTCCCTAAATATTTTACAAATTTACAATTTTATATATATATACACACACACACATGAGTATATATATATATATATATATATTTACTCGTATATATTTGAGGCTTTACTCCCAGTTTCAGCGGCAACAATAATCTCCAGCACCAGATCTCCGTCGCACACCATTAACCCATCAACGGCGCCCCGATATGTTGAGAACAAGTGCTGTGATTTGTTGTTATTATGGATTGTTGTGTTTGGAGGTGGAATAAATTGTAGTTAGGGAAGAGGTGAAAAGAAAACAGAAAGAAATTGATATCTCATTCTCTTTCTAATTGTTCCATAAAAAATTAAGGTTTGTGAATTCAATCGATGAATGGAGCAAATTAAGGTTTGAACAAATTTGGGTTTGGTTAATAAACTTTGTGGTCGGAAAACTCAAAATTGGCGACGTCGTGTTCTTCATCAGGTGAAGCAATCCAACCGCTTGGTTCAGTTTGAAATTTCTTGAAATTTTCATCAATAAATTGAATACAGGATTATTTATATATATATATATATGATTCTATTCTCTCTCTACTTTCTCACTATTTCTTTGTCACTAATTAGTTGATACCTTCAACAAACATGGAAACTTCTTGCATAGCCTTCCAAGTTTTCTCAAATTTTCATTTTCTTTCCAAATCCTGAAAAGAAAAAGAAACCAAAAGAACTGTTTATGAAAAAAATAGTAATAATTAAAAAAAAATAAAACATTGATGATTAAGAGCAACAACCAGTGAAATAGGTGGTGGGGATGAAAGAAGAGGTATATTAGCAAAAAGGTCAATTCATGTGCGGTGGTGGGAGGAAGTGTGTGAGTGACCCATGAGGGGGATGGGGGTAATTTCGTTCTTATATAATTATGATATTTTAAATTTAAAGGTATTAGAAAATGAGGATACATTTGGGGTGTGAGTGATATGATTTTTCAAACGATATTTCAAGATGATATTTGGCCAAACCTAAGGAATGTCAGTGAAATTAACTCTTAATTTTTTAACTTACCAAAGTTGCCCTCCCTTTTTACATATCTAATACCTAGCTCTATCTTATTTATTGGTCTTTTTGTATCTCACCTATTTAAAAACTACCTTCAACTGATCATTCACCTATTTAAAAACTGTTATTTAGTTCATGTGAATTTCCATTTATTCCAAACATAAAAATGGAATTTCATTTTAATTAAAATCCTTTTTTCTTCTATCCAATTTCAATCCAATAATTAATAGAAAGAGTTTGTGAAATGAGAGAACTCTGTTGATAACATTATTCTATTATTAACATTTATTTATTGAAATAATGAAGGAGAACACTATAACAATGACAATTCTTCAAATTTAAAGGTACATAATTGTTAGGTAAGTGAAATAAAGGAGAGATATAAAAAAAAGGGTTTGAGTGAGACAAGATTCGCATTCAACTTTACTATATTTGAACTCCCATTTAAAGGTTTTGACACTTTCTAATCTTTGACTTTATACATGAATAGTTATTTTCTTTCAAATTACTCCCTCTATCGCACTATTTGTCGATGTTCCTTTTTTTTCTTTTGTCGAATTGGCAACAACTATATTGGAACGGTGGTACTACAAAAAAATGTAGACAATATATACATACATATATATATATATACACACCCAACAATGAAATTTGTGTACTATGATATTTTATTTGAAAGGTGGACAATATATATATATATATATATATATATATATATATATATATATGTATGAGTATATGTGGCCAAATTACATATATTTGAACTCCTTTGCTTTACGGAACAATTATAAAAAATAAAAATAAAAATCATTGAAAAATATTACTATATAAATATACACACGCATTGACTAACAAATACCTTAACCCCGTCCTAAGAGGGGACTGTCCATGAAGCCATGTTTGATACGCGTTGTATTTTTTACATTTTATTTTATATCGAAACAAAACAAGTGTTTTGTTATAGAATAGTACTTGGGTTAAAATTGAAAACAAGTGAATTTCAAAAACAGAAACAACATGTTTAACAACATCTCTCGTTTTAAAAAATTTTAAAATAAAATATGTTTGGGAGAGTTCGACTAAAATTGTTATAATAAAAACAGTAAACATATTTGATATACATTGTTTTTTTTATTTATTTTTGAAAACTTTAAATATATTAATAAATTTTTATTTATATATAATAGTACATGTTTTTATATGGATTGAAAATTACAGATTTGATTTCAAAAGTCCCTTCATCCATCCGTGAATCGCAAATCTGGCTGTCTGAATTTTACACCTTCGAATCATGTGATTGGTTGGTTATTCATAGAAAATAATACTCCTTCCGTCAAAAAGTATTCTTTTTTGGGAATCTTAATTTTTTTAGAGTTTTGTTTTTAATGGTTTTTTTTTTTTTAAGTGGAAAGGAATGAATTTTTAAATATATCCTTTTAGGGTTCGTTTGGTTAGCCGAAAATTAATGATGAAAAGTGAAAGGAAAAGAAAGTGAAGTAAAAGAAAAGAAAATTATGTTTCTATCATTCATTTGGTTAGTATGATTTTTTTGTAAAAAATTTGTGGGAAAATGTTGTTTCATAAGTTTGATTAGCAAGAAAGTGAAAAGAAAATGATTTATATACCAAAATTACCCCCATGAATTCAATACTAAGTAAAATACATCATACAACAAGGATAATAAAAAAATATAAATAATTGTTTTATGAATAAAAATATATGTAAGTATGTATATATATAGTCCTAATTTAAAAAGTCAGAAAATTGTAACTTAATTAGGAGTCTTAATTTAAAGAGTTAAAAAGTTGTAATATAAGTAGAAGTCCTAATTTATCAAAAAGAAGTCACTTTGAGTCTAAAAAGAAGGAAGAGAAATAACTACCGAGGGTATAATTGGAAACGAATATATGATGATACAACTTTCACGCGAAACTAAAATTTTCGCTTGTTTTATAGAGGAAACATTTTAAGGAAAATCAACCAGTTATAGGAATATTACTTTCCTGAAAATGTTTCCTTTCACGCTAACCAAACTACTAAATAATTTGACGCTAACCAAACTAACCCTTAAGGTAAAGTCGATCCACATAAGATCTAATTTCAAACTTTAAATGTGTTTATCACTACAAGGCAAATAGGGTAAATTAAAAATACTAGAAGAGTAATGTACTCTCTCCGATTAAATTGGCCTACTCCTAGTTCAAATTTTACGTGTAATTGTTATGTAATTACTTAAATCGTTCATATTTTATTTGCACCCTAAAGATACCAAAAAGCTAAATAGGTTTTGACGACCTCTCTCTATTTCTCTTATTTCTCCATTCCTCTTATCTTTTGACTCACGGTTCTTTCTTTTCCACTTTGCAAAATTAAAAGAAAAACAAAACATTGAGAAGGGGTCAAGTGCTAAAAACACCCCTCTAGTTTTAAAAATGTGCAAATAACACTCCTGTTGTTCAAACGCCACTCCTCTAATTTTAAAAAGTTACAAATAAGGGTTTTTTGTCAAAAGAGTAGGTAAAAATACGAAAATACCCTCAATATTCTTTATTCAATAATAATAATAATAGTTGAAAAAATTAAAATTACCCAAATAGACATTGACCAAAACTACGTCGTTTTGAGTA